CTTAAATTAAAAATGATGTAAATAAGTTCTCAAACCTCTCAACGATGCAAATTAACTCTCAAGCTCTTTGAAAAATGCAAATAAACTCTTATTTTTAATGACCCAACATATATGACATCATGCCATCTGTTTTTTTCCTTTGGGGTTTTTTTTTTTTTCAAAAAGCAAAAGAATTTGTTATTATTAAAGAAGTACAAGATGTACTCGTACCCATACATACTTTGTAGTTACATCTGTCTATCCCTTTATACACATATTACAATATTAATAGAAAGCCCTACTCTTGCACAATTTAGGGACATAATTTAGGGTTTAAAATCCACTCATGAAAGAGCATATTGTTACCTTTGCCTTTATATTTTAACTAATGAAAAGTTCTAACCTGAATTAAGTTGAGAATTCCATTGGTGTCATTCAAATCATCCTTAAATATTCTTTCATTTCGGTCAACCCAAACAGTCTAAAGAGTATTGCAAACCAAATGATCTCCTAGCCATATTTTAATTTGTTGGAGTGAATGAGCTTTCCATGCAATACAAAAGCTTCCCAGCACGTTGTTATTCCTACTACAGAAATTTCCTACCAAGCGTAGCATTTGAACTATATTACTTTTGCTACTTTGTAGTTTAGAAAAAGGTGATTAGTGTTCTCCACTTTCCCACCAAGCATAACATTTGTTCTTTTTCTTTGCTTGATCAAACTTTTCACATAGATGCTTATGTGGATCAAAAGACCTCTTAAGTAGTGAAAATCCCACGAAAATGACTCATGTGTCCCCTTTTTATTTAGTGTTTTAAGGTCACATGAATTATTTTAACAAAATTTTTACGATTCAAAGAATATTTTGATTCACACAAAAAAAATGAGACTAAGTATAACAAAAAAATAGACATTGTGAGATCATGTGTAGTAAGTCATTAATAATGAAAACTTATTTGCATCTTTCAAAGAATTTTGAAAACTAATTTACATCATGTGAAAGGTTTGAAAACTTATTTGCATTGTTTTTAGTTTAAAGGTTATGTATTAATTTGAGACAATTCTTGAAGTCAAAGCTTAAGAGGAGTTTTGCCATGCAATTTCCATCTCTCACTCAGAAAATGCATGAATTAAAAATAAAATTGCATAAAAACGAAATGGTGAGGTAACTGCCTCCATAAAAAAAAAAAAAAAAATTAATGTGGTCAGGAAACTGCCAGGAAATTAACCGCCAAAATCATTGAAACTCCTAACTGAATTTCCTTGAAGCAATCAATGAAGGACATTTTCGTCTTTTTAATTATTAATTAAGACATCCCTTCAAAGTTCAAACCTATAAATCCTGATTACGCAACCTTAATTCCTACCCATTTTTAAAAAATCTCCCGTTAATCTTCTTTCTTTCTCTCTTTCTCTCCGGTGACCGGTCCCTCTTCTTTTCTGTCTCTTCCTCACCCAATGCAAACAACAAAGCACTGTCATTAGCACGTCGATCTCTCCCTATAAATTCCATTGTCTGCCTTTCAAGAATCCCATGGCGAGACTCAAAACCACCAAAATGCGGGCTTTGGGTCTTCTGATCTTGGGTCTGTTGTCACTCACACTGCCGGTCTCGGTGGTGTACTCTGCTTCCGTTCTCCCTCTGAAGAGGGCGTTTCCGTTGGACCAACCGGTCGAGGTGGACGAACTCATAGCTCGTGACGGAGTCAGACACCGGCGCCTCTTGGGGGGTGGCGTTGGCGGTGTTGTCGACTTCTCAGTCCACGGTTCCTCCGATCCATATCTCATCGGGTAATTTTTTCTTCTTTTTCTTGTTTCAATGGTTCTTTCTGGCCTTTTCCTCGCTCGGTTTTGAACTAGTTTTCTTTTTGGGTTTTTGGTTTCTTGATTAGTGTTCCGTTGTGGGTTTTGCTTCTTCCTTGTCGGAACTATCATGGGTCTGTCTGTATCAATAGTTCCTGTTTAGCTTGGAAATGGTCAAAATTATGAAATTTTTTTCATCGTCTTGGCGTTTGTTAAACAATACTCCTATATATTCATTTTTTAAGAGTCTGCATTTATCGCTCATGAGTCATGTGCGTTTACATGTGCTGAATCGTCTTTTTTTCCTGCTTCATGAAATCCGTTTTGGTTTTTGATTGGTTAGGAACTGAAACAAAAGAACTTATCTTTTTTGTTTTCTTTTTATGGTTCAAGCTGTTTTTGGTTTATCTGAAGATTGATTTTCTTTTCTGTCCTCTTCTTATATGCCGCCAACCTGGATGTTGAGCTCTTCTGCACTTGGAAGCTTAGAAGATTTGGAATATTCAAATTAAGCTTTTGTTTCAATGTTATTTATGTCCTTATGAGTAACTGATGGATTTTGATTTGTCTGTATTTATCACTAAATTGATGGCTAATTTGGCTTTTGCTGTTCTTTCTTGTGTGCCTTTTTCCAGCCAAGCTGAGCCATTGTAAGTGCTACTGTCATAGATCTTTCTCTTGGTTCTCTTCCGTTGATTTTTCTTTCACACACTCTTTGGGATGGGATTGATAATTTATGGGATTTAGAATGATTGAGTATATTGTCATTTTGACATTGACTTTATTATTCAATTTTTGGGTTTTTGTTTTTGGTTAGGCTTTATTATACAAAAGTGAAACTGGGCACTCCACCTAGAGAATTCAATGTGCAGATAGACACTGGAAGTGATATTCTATGGGTCACCTGCAGTTCCTGCAGTAATTGCCCCCAATCCAGTGGACTTGGAGTAAGATTCCTACTCCTCCCAGTCACTAGTCCATAAATTTGATGAGACTGTTGAATGATAAAAGAAATAAAATTTTTCAACTTCTAACTTGTGCCATCATGTCTTTTACAGGTGGAACTCAGTTTCTTTGACTCTGCTAGCTCGTCAACTGCAAGGCCAGTCCCATGTTCAGACGCAGCATGTTCTCCAGCTAGTCAAACCAGTGCAACTCAATGCTCTCTGAATAACCTGTGCAGTTACTCTTTCCACTATGGAGACGAAAGCGGGACATCTGGTTATTATGTAAATGATGTGTTGTTTTTTGATGCTGTACTGGGGCAGTCTTTGGTTGCAAACTCTTCGGCTCTTGTTGTGTTTGGGTGAGCTTTCACAATTTGGTAGAGAAACAGTTTTATAAACATGATTTTGGACTGAAAATAAGTACTATGATAAAGAGAGGAGAAAGAAGTAGTCACATAACCTACTCAACTTTCAAAGTAGAAACTATTATGATTAACATATAGGATTATGTAAGTTTGATTTCCTTGATGCATTTTTAAGGCCATAAGGCACATTATTAATTGAGAACCTCAAAATTGTGTGACTTCAAGTAATTTCCTTAAAAAAAAAAAAAAGCAGTTGTGATTAATATCGTAGTTCACTTTTATTGGTGCTCAGATTACATGAATAAGTACGGTTTAATTTCTGTCTGCATTGTGATCTGAACAAAACAGGATTGTTTCTTTCATTCTTCACTCATATCTTCTGTCATTGTAATTGCTATCAATCCCATAAAAGTCCTCATACTCATTTGTTACTTGCAACTCATTGCTTTGAGTGGTTCCTTTGAAATAGGTGTAGCACATGTCAGTCTGGTGACTTGACTAAAACTGATAAAGCTTTGGATGGAATCTTTGGATTTGGTCATGGGGATCTATCTGTGATATCACAGTTATCATCAAGGGGTATAACTCCTAGAGTTTTCTCTCATTGCTTGAAAGGAGATGGTAGTGGAGGGGGTACATTGGTTCTGGGTGAGATTTTGGAGCCAGGCATTGTTTATAGTCCACTTGTCCCATCACAGTATGTCCTCTTTCTAGCATGATCTTTCCTTGTCTTTGCTTGTAACTGGTATTGCAGTCTACTTTAATCACATAGTTTTGTTTGCATGAGCCATGAAATAGGAAGTTTGTGAATACTGCTACAAATGGTAATTTAAATGCCTTCTTATATTGGGAAAAGGTGGAATTACCTTTTTTAAGGGATCAGGCTCCCTCTATAAACTATTTACTCTTTCTCCTTGTGAAACTTGAAGCTCAAAATCATGTGCTCTGCCTCCCACAATCCCACATGCCTTTTCTCATTGTTGACCATAGGAATAAATTTCTGTTGTTATATTTACATAAATGATAAAACATCTCAGTTTCAGTTGGCAATATTATGAATACTATTTTTGCAGTAAGTTTAACAGCTTCATTTTTTAAATTTTCAGGCCTCATTATAATTTAAATCTGCAGAGCATTTCTGTCAATGGACAATTTTTGCCAATTGATCCATCTGTTTTTGCAACATCAACTAACCGGGGTACTATCATTGACTCTGGAACAACTTTGGCTTACCTTGTGGAGCAGGCATATGATCCTTTTGTTAGTGCGGTATGGTTGCATTTTCTATTAATTTGTTTCATAGTAAATTGAAGTTTTTGTTGGCATGGAGTTATCAACTTGAGTAAAGATTTCATTTATCTCCTTCACCTGAGATTATAATGCCACCTTGAAAGCATAAGATTTTACATCATGTATTCTGAACCCAATTTGCATCTTGAATGTGTAGATAACTGCTGCTGTTTCAACATCTGTGACTCCCACTATTTCTAAAGGAAATCAATGTTATCTTGTCTCTAACAGGTTGTTACCTAGCTCTATTTTTAGTATATCAATTTTGTAGCTAATTTTTTCCTTAAGAGTTTCTTGTCCTGCAGTAGAGTTTGATATCTCAACATCCATCATCTCTGAATAATAATGTCTCTGTCTGTTTTTGTTCAGTATAAATGATGTATTTCCTTCAATCAGTCTAAATTTTGCTGCTGGTGCATCAATGGTCTTAAAACCAGAAGAGTACCTCATACAACTTGGTTTCTATGTAAGTGTTATTCCACTTAAATCCTCTGTTGAATTTGACACTTTGCTAAAAGTTCTGATATTAGAAATAATTCCTGTGTATATCATTTCATTTCACGAAATGTTAAAGACCCTTTGGTTGTTGCAGGATGGTGCTCCATTGTGGTGCATTGGTTTTCAGAAAGCTCAGGGACCAAGCGCAATGTTAACGATTTTAGGAGGTTGGATTCTAATTTCGCTTTTATGGTCAATACAAAGTTTGCTGAAAGACATTTGGATCAAGAAGCAATTTGCTGAAACACATTATGGTATGGTCGGTTTTCAGTCGTCCCCTCATTGACTGTGTGGCAGCCGCTAATTTTGGGTGATTGACTTGTCAATGGAGGTTTCAGCAAATTTGCACTTGCCATTTGCAGCAAACTTTAATCATTCACTTGTGTTTTTTCCTATGTAATTTGCTTACCCTCATATTAAATACACAAATAAATTAGGTGTTTTTCTTAGCTCAGTAATTTAGCTGTTTGTTAAATTAAATATATAGAGCAAACAACTTGGCTGTGGGAAGATCTAATATTGCTTTTATTATCCTTTCATTTTGCAGATCTAGTTCTAAAGGATAAGATCTTTGTTTATGATCTTGCTCATCAACGGATTGGGTGGACTAACTATGACTGTAAGTTTTCTTGATTCCCATTTCATCTATTTGCTTATTTCCTCGTCAACAACTACAATTTAGTGCCTCTTACATATCCTCTGCATTTCTATGTCTTAGGTTCATTAGATGTAAATGTGTCAATTACTAGTGATAAGGATGAGTTTGTAAATGCTGCACGGCTCAGTATGAGCACCTCACGACAAGACATGCTCTTCAAGGTGCTCCAACTGAGCTTTATGGCTCTTTTGATCCACCTCATAGATTTCATGGAGATCCAGTTTTTGTAATTTATACATAGAGCTCGAGAATAAATTCACTTGTTTCAGTTTTTGGCCAATCTTTATTTATAGTGATCGCCCTGGCCTTCATGCTGTTATTCCAGAAGCGAAGGTTTTCTCCTACAGTATACCATTCTTCACCATCTCAGATCGCTACTAAATATGGTAGCTTCTATTCTTCTGCTGGACAGTTAGGCTTTTCTCATTGTAGAGGATCCTTTCTCTTCTGCATTTACGGAATTGTAATTATATCTTCACCCAATTGAGCATTGTGTTGCCCTGGCAGCAGGAAGCAGAAGAAGAGTGTCTCACTCTCCCCTTTTTTTTCCTAGTTACTAGTTCAGGAAGGGTTGTAGAAGGCATCATGTATCGTGTCATTTTTGTAATCTGCATTGCTTCTTTGGTTATCCTATGTGCTGTGTGTTCCCTTTCCAATCATTGTGTCAAGCCAAAGGAAGAACCATTCCTTTTGTAATAAAGTTCTTTTGTTGGAAGTGAGTTTGTTGCAGTAATCAAACTGACTTGTTTTGTAACAATGTAGAAACAGGCAGGCAACATTCTTACCTTTTGAAAATTTTCTTTTTATTAAAAGTTAGTTTTAAATATGTTGTATTAGAATGGACCACACTACAATTTCAATAATCTATACAAAATAACTCAACATTAAAGGTTATGGTTATGGTCATCATTAATTTATTCAGGCAACTCAAAATAGTTAAATTTTTGTTTTAATTTGATTGTTAAAAATAATTAATAATTGATAAAATAATTAATATTTACTATTTAATATATTGAATTAAGTTTATAAATGGATATTTTTAAACATCATTAATTGTTTCAAGAAAACAAATTATAAATTAATAAAATTATCAATAAATTGGTGGTTTTAATCAATTTAATAGTGTTAAATTGGCAATAACCTCAACTAACATTAAACTAGTGTTTTCTTTTTTTTTTTTTATACATTAGATAATGAGTTATATAATAAGATTTGAATTCGAAAGTTCTAACTATCAATTTTAAACTCTTAATAACTTAAAAAAAATATTCCCTTAAGATTATTATTAAACGAGTGTTGTTGACATGCTAATTGACATGTGATCTTTGAATAAGGAGACTTAATCATACAACGTCTTATTGTATAATCTTTCAAAAAAAAAAAAGGTTTCTTATATTCTTATTGAGATATAAAAATATCTTTATTAGTTAAATCTAATGTCCTGAACTAGCTTATCAAAGTATGTGGGTCGATTAATTACATAAAAAAAAAGAAGTAAATAAGTCATTTCAATAAACTTGAAAAGTAAAGGGGTTAAGTACCATTTTCTCATTTTTTATGTGATAATATTGTAATTTTTTTTTGGTGCAAGTGATAATATTGTAATTTGCAAAAAGAAAGATTACGTTCTGGAAATCCAATATTAAGGATCTTAAAAACTGATTTACTGAATTTCTTTCTAATGTTTTTTAAACATTGTAAATTTGGGGGTGATTTATTTCTGAAATTAGGATTTATGACCAAATTAATATCTATATTATATACTATATGTTTGGAAAAAAATAATATATATTGTATTATATAACTTATACATGTGTATATTTTATGATACATGTATATTAAAACAGATAGAAATAAATACGATGCTTAATTTTAACCAAAATTCAAATATAAAATAAGAAATCTTTTTTAAATGATAATTAGAATTTACATTAAATAAAAAGTTTATTCAAATAATAATTTAAAAAAGATATAAATATAAAATTTTATTAATAAATGAGAAAAAAATATATCAATTCTGACTTTTAAATATAATTGGAATCTTAACATTAAATTACGATCATTTTATTTAATTAAAACTCAATTCAAAATTTAAAAA